TCTAACTAGGTGATTTTGAACTGCTGTATAAAGACATGTGAATATAACAAGGGAATAAACGAGAGAGCTTGGAAGCTCAGGGCCCTATGCTATGCTTTTTTGCTTTGATGACCTAGACAAAAAAAAACATAGGGATGTTATAAATTCTTTAAAAAATTCCTTTTTTTTTAGACATAACCTGGGATTCGAACCCGCACTAGTTCTTCCAAGTTGTTTCACATTGTGATTTTGCATTTGAAAGCCCTATTTGACTATGCATTGTGGCCAGCCGTCTTTGATGGCACGGTACGGTAGGGGATAGGTACGGAACAGGTACGATCGAGGGTATATTACGACACCGTCTCCCGTACCGTACCGTACCATCAAACACAGCTGGCCACATACAGCTGGCCGCAATATTCAAATAGGGCTTTCAAACGCAAGATAATAACGTGAAGCAACTTGGAAGAATGGGTATGAATGCGAAGTGTATGGGTGAATGCATGTAGGGCGATAGTGCGGGTTCGAATCCCAGGATATGCCTGAAAAAAATAGGAGAATTGAAAAATGTATAACATCCTATGCTTTTTTGCCGGCAGATTTGGATAGCGCCAGACGTGACACAAACAAACAAACAAACACACAAACACACAAATACCACATTAAAGCTGTGTGGACCCTGGCTAGCGCCAGACGTTACTGAAGTAACGTCTTCTGCATAGCTACGGGAACAACAAGGGAATAAACGAGAGAGCTTGGAAGCTCAGGGCCCTACGCTATGCTTTTTTGCCTTTATGACCTAGACAACAAAAAAAGGATAGGGATGTTATAAATTCTTTAAAAAATTACTTTTTTTTAAGACATAACCTGGGATTCGAACCCGCACTATCGCGCGCCCTGCATGCATCCCCCGATACCCTTCGCATACATACTAATTCTTCCAAGTTGTTTCACATTGTGATCTTGTATTTGAAAGCCCTATTTGAATATACATTGTGGCCAGCTGTCTTTGATGGCACGGTACGTTAGGGGATAGGTACGGGACAGGTACGATCGAGGGTAATACGACACCGTCTCCCGTACCGTACCGTACCATCAAACACAGCTGGCCACATACAGCTGGCCGTAATATTCAAATAGGGCTTTCAAACGCAAGATAATAACGTGAAGCAACTTGGAAGAATGGGTATGAATGCGAAGTGTATGGGGGAATGCATGTAGGGCGATAGTGCGGGTTCGAATCCCAGGATATGCCTGAAAAAAAGGAGAATTGAAAAATTTATAACATCCTATGCTTTTTTGCCGTCAGATACGGATGGCGCCAGACATGACACAAACAAACACACAAATACCAAATTAACGCTGTGTGGATCCTGGCTAGCGCCAGACGTTACTGAAGTAACGTCTTCTGCATAGCTACGGGAATAAAAGAATACTACTACTATTGGTTTATTAATGCGATTAATAGTACATGTTGTTGTTGTTGTTGTTGTTGTTATTGTTGTTGTTATTTTGATGAGTAAGATTCCTTCGATAAAGGAAGTTCTGTTGGGGCTGTAAGGCCTCATACATGTATAATTATTATGTTATTTGCCAACATGCCTGAAGACTGCAAGGTACATTGCACATATCGTATTGTTAACCTGTGGATTTTGGACCATTAATTTGTGACACGTTGTAATACTGTAAACAGCTAATATTGTAACTAGCCCCTAATATAAAGATGTCCTTAAATTGGCCTGTTTATGTGTAAAAATATTAATCTCAGTGCTTACTAGCAACAGTAGATTTATCCATTTCTGTGGCATGTTTTCATTCTCGATTTGGCAATTGTATATAGCACTATTTAGCACTTGGTTATAACCGTTCTGCATAAGGCTTTTACAGTCACATACCTTTGCAGATACATCTCCAAATATGGGAAATTTTGCGTTCCACAATATTCGTTTGTCAGATGTGAATAACAATTGCTAAATTTGAGCTCTCTGATTTGTTTTGTCTCTTAGAGGTGAAGGAGTTCAATCCAGCTTTCATTGATCGTACACGCAAAATAGTTAGTTTTTCCCTCCCAGCCGTAAAGCCTGGCCACTCGATACAGCTGGTGGAGATTGGACTGCAGGGCTTGGTGAATGTTTCAATGGGAAACAATTCCGAAGAGGCGAATGTCAACAGCAACTATTTGGTTCTAACCCCAGGCTATCATATCTACGGTTTCCAATATGTTCGTGTCAGCAGTGGCTGGAGATCACCTATCGGTGCCAAATTCTCAGTGGGTACTCCCCCTGGTAAGTACCTACAGAGGACAAAGCGAACAGATGATGCTTTTGCAACACCGCTCTACTTTTTGATTACTGCATGTAAATATAACTGGGAAGCAAATCTAGCGTCAGAGAAGGTGATACTGATATTGTAATTGACATGGCATACTGATTTTTATACGGTGTAATTATTATGGGCGCAAGAAAGAAACTAGCGGCAGGCCACCTAAGAACCATCGGTCACAGCCATCTTTAACACAATTGCCGTTTTCTGCAATAGTGCCTCCATTACTCGTATCGACAGCCGTGGAGATGGATAATATGCACATTGTCACCTCAACACAATGCATGTTAACAACACGAGAGAGTACACTACAACAACATCCAGCTCAAGACTAACGTGGACGCTGCGATGAGGTGATGCCCCATCGCTATCGTTGCCGTTGCCTCCCCCAGAACCGCCACCTGCATCTGTCGTCGGCAGTGCTGGGGCTGAGTCTGTGGTGTCCAAGGCACTGGCAAATATGGATGACGTAAGCACAGAACATGAACAAGGAGGAAGAAAGCTGAAGGGAACGGCATTCAACAGAGAAAACAACACGATCAACATTCAAAGACCTAGACGATCAACATTCAAAGACCTAGACGATCAACGGCTAATTATTCAATGAATTATTACAGGACTGGATGTCAAGCACCGGCAAAGACACTGGGAACAGAAGATTTAACAACAACGGGAACAACAAGAATAACAACAACAACAATGGTAACAAATTACCATCAAGATCAAAGGAGGAGTCAACGAACAGAGGTTAAGCAACATGAAGCGAGCCATGGACCGATCGGTGTTGATGAGGAGAATGACACGGAGGACGACACTAAGGACGAGTTGGAAGATGAAACGGAGGACGAGGTTGCGGTTGGTGGAGACGAGGAATCGGATGGTGATTGTCATTGTAAGAAGTCTGCCGTTTTTCTTCATCTGTTGTCTCACCCTAAGTGTCTGCAGGTGTATGATGATTTTAGTTTTTCTGTTCTTTGTCGTGCACGGTACGCTAGTCAGTTGAAAGTACTTGAGGCTGTTTGTATTCGTTTGCATAAGCCTGATATTTGTAAACAGAAGAAACATGTAGTTGCGTTAAAATTGTTTTCGCAGGTTCACAGCATGATTGTTTGTCTCACTACACAATTCTAGCGTTATAATTAGTTCCTCACCCCTGTTGCACTTAGCTATCACTTCACTTCTATTGTCTCACCTTCCTTCATTCCATTTTAGCACTTTATTTTGTTCTCGTAACACATTATTGAATGTATATTAATCATTAATTCAGCATGGTTACTCTTCAGTCACGGCTTTCCACTGATGATTGTGACAAGAAAATCGATTTTGGTAAACCTGCATGACTTTGTTGTAGTGTGGCGATGACAGCAGAATTTGTTCTCTTATTGCTACATACTTTCTACACTTATTTATGGCTCACCATCCGAGTTACATGTATGTTCTATTACAATAGTATTCCTTTCCTCCTATAATCCTATAAACAAAGCTGAAACAGTTTAGGTATGCTATGTCGTGATAAATCCACTGTATATAAAAAAAATCCACTATTGCACTCATAATCGGTCAATATATGAAATATAGACCTCGTAAAAGACCTGGGCTTCCCCTCTGCATTTTACTCATTCTAAATTTCATACATGTATATTGACTTCTTTCATCGTGCAATGCTAGATACCTGCAAAACTTTACACACACCATCTTCAATCCAAGTGGTCTCTTCGCTGCAAAAACAAATTTCGGCCAGGAGCCATCATCAGGATGGGTCCTTGCCGAAAATTTGATTGAGATAATTATTGTACCCTTCAGCGACGAGACCACTTGGAGTGAAGATGGTGTGTAAGGTTTTCCAGGTAATGAAGTGGCTGCAGTGGAGCTTGAGCACATTAAGAAACGAGAGAGCTTGGAAGCTCAGGGCCCTACGCTATGCTTTTTTGCCTTGATGACCTAGACAAAAAAAGCATAGGGATGTTATAAATTCTTTAAAAAAATCTTTTTTTAAAGACATAACCTGCGATTCGAACCCGCACTGTCGCGCGCCCTGCATCCATCCCCGATACACTTCGCATACATACTAATTCTTCCAAGTTGCTTCATGTTATGATCTTGCATTTGAAACCCCTATTTGAATATGCATTGTGGCCAGCCGTCTTTGATGGTATGATACGGTACGGGATAGGTACGGGACAGGTACGATCGAGGGTAATACGACACCGTCTACCGCCTTGATGACGGCAAAAAAAGCATAGGCATGTTATAAATTTTTCAATTCTCCTATTTTTTTTTTCAGGCATATCCTGGGATTCAAACCCGCACTATCGCCCTACATGCATTCTCCCATACACTTCGCATTCATACCCATTCTTCCAAGTTGCTTCACGTTATGATCTTGCGTTATACTTAGCGAGCCGGTATTTGTTTGCATGACGACATTTGGCGATGATTTCACTTCGCTTGTTGAGGATTTTGGTCTTGTCCGCAGTGAGTATACGCACCTTCTCCGTGGTGCAAAGGCAACATCTCTTCGTTGCGGGGTTGTAGGAGCTGGCCTTGTCTTTGATTCTCCAGGACAGGTGATACTCTTTGTTGTCGTTTTTCTTTATCCAGAGGTGTTTGGAGAGCTCCATGTTAGTGCGGTATTTTTCGTGGCGGAAGGACATCGTGTGGTTGTTGTATCTTGTTTTGAACGTTGTCTCTGCTGAGCCGATGTATGTCCTGAGCTCATCCTGGCTGGTGACGTGTGCTTCATAGATGACGTGAGAGGCCTGGCAACGTCCTTCCATGGGGCATTCCTGCTTTTTCCTACAATTGCAAGGCTTTTCAGGAGGTTCTTGTATCAGTTGCCGCTTGTTGTGCTCACTGATAATCGCTGCGATGTTGGGCATACATGAATAGCTAACCTTCCCGTTATGTCGGTTGAAGATCTTTTTCAGGGGGGTGTTTTTGAAATGCCGGTCGATCATTGTGAGGAAGGCAGCAGCGACGTTTGTTCTCACGCTACGGCTGAAAGGAGTGTTGAACCATGTTATTGTTCTTTTTCGGTTTCGCTTTCTGTTCTTCTGTGCTGGTTGCCCCATGTACTCAATACCTTCCGCGTATCCACTGGCCAATAATGCTTTGTTGTACATAGGCTCAGCTTCGTTAAATGCTTCCTCACTTGATGAGTTCGTTGACACGCGTCGGCTTATTCCTGCTGGCAGTTGCTTTATTATGGACGGTGGGTGGTTTGAGTGGGTGTTAATGTACTGCGGTGTGTCGCCTGGCTTTCCGTGTGGCATTTATCCTCCGGTTGACAGGTTGAACGTCACGTCGAGGAAATTTACGACCTTTAGGTTGGTGTCAATCGTTACCTTTAGTCCATGCCCTGCAATGACCACCGTCAAACTCTTCCGTATGCGCTCTGTCGCGCTGCCGGTGGTGTTTCTCAGCACAACCAAGCCGTCGTCCCTGTACAGGCCGATCTGTGCTCTGCCGACGTGGGCTGTTAGTTCGTGGAGCATATATACGCCAACCAGCTCACACACTTCCGCGCCATCGAACGAGCCCATGGTGACATCGAACGTGCTGGCGTTGTTCTTCTTCACCCAAGGTTGGCCATCTTTGAACAACACTGATTTTCGTGCGTGCATGACAATCTCCCTTTCCCCGTCCTCGATGTTAGTGTACGTGGACGCAAAATCCAGGGCCCTCGCGAGGAGTGCTTCTGGGATGGAGGGATAATACTCTACAACGTCAAAGCATATGAATGTGTGCTGTTGCTTGTCCTGGATGTTTTCGTACCACTCAATGACTGATGCCGTGGTCCTCCAAAGGTTGACGTCCGCTTCCATTGTGTACTAGCTCCAGTGCACCCCAGCGCTGTTGAGCCCTCTTTGCGGTGGACGGGACCACTTCCCCCTGTATTATAATATTAATATAGCTATGAATAGGATGAAGGCCGCAGACATCACGCAACTACGTCACTTGTTTGACATGTATTACTGTGTATTTTATAACAAAAATATCATTGAAAACCTAGAATCGATTTTCTCGTTTCTATCATCAGTGGGAAAAACGGAACTAAGGATACAACCAAAGAAACTGAAGTTAAGTACTGTAAATAGAAAGGTGTTAGAAATAACATCAAGAGACAAGTGCAATAAAACCACTGGAGGAAACGTAAGAAAGGTAACAAGATTACATAACCAAAGGCGAGAAGGCACTGAACGAAGTGTCAATCTACGAATACAACTTCAGTGCAACAACGTGCTCTTTCTGCTTACACAAAACAGGCTTATGAATACGGATACAAACTGCCTCAAGGACTTTTAATTGTTGGACATAACGCGCACGACACAGTACAGAAAAATGAGAGTCATCATTCACACCAAGACAGTCAGGACGAGAAAACAAGTGTAGATACACAGCTGACTTCTTACGATCAACACATTCATCCGCCTCATCTCGCTCCTTCCCACCCAACTCCTCCTCATCCATCTCATCGTCCTCTTCCTCGTTCCGCTCGTCATCCTCACGATCATCATCACCACCATCATCTGCCTCGTCCTCTGTCTCCTCACCACCCGTTTCGTCATCCAATTCCTCTTCCATCCTCTGAACAGACCACTTGTCTCCCATTTGCTAGCTGCTCGTCCCGTGAGCGGACAGTTGAACAGTTGAAAGTCCTTGAGGCAGTTTGTATACGTGTTCATAAGCCTGTTTTGTGCAAGCAGAAAGAGCAAGTTGTTGCACTGAAGTTGTATTTGTAGATTGACACTTCGTTCAGAGCCTTCTCGCCTTTGGTTATGTAATATTGTTACCTTTTTTGCGTTTCCTCTAGTGGTTTTATTGCACTTGTCTCTTGATGTTATTTCTAACACCTTTCTATTTACAGTACTGAATTTCAGTTTCTTTGGTTGTATCCTTAGTTCCGTTTTTTCCCACTGATGATAGGAACGAGAAAATCGATTCTGGGTTTTCAATAATATTTTTGTTGTAAAATACACAGTAATACATGTCAAACAAGTAACGTAGTTGCGTGATGTCTGGGGCCTTCATCCTATTCACACCTATATTAAAATTATTATCTCCACGTAGGTTATTTGTACTCAATATGCGGACAGCATGCTGTTTCGTTCTTTTTGAACTCATCAACGCAGCACAGAGAAAATGAGGCCGAACCTGATAGCAATGGAAATAAAAATTTCCAATCAGGCCCGAACGTACCTTGCCAGAGTGCTCAAACTGACAAGTCAGTGAGCTCTGCATAATGCAAACAGCAAAGGCACTACCCCACGCAAGAGTGCTCAACTGCTACAAGAGCAGGAGCGAAATACTCAATCTGCGGACAGCATGCTGTTTCGTTCTTTTTGAAGGCTCATCAGCGCAGCACAGAGAAAATGAGGTCGAACCTGATAGCAATGGAAATAAAAATTCCCAATCAGGCCCGAACGTACCTTGCCAGAGTGCTCAAACTGACAAGTCAGTGAGCTCTGCATATTGCAAACAGCAAAGGCACTACCCCACGCAAGAGTGCTCAACTGCTACAAGAGCAGGAGCGAAATACTCAATCTGTGGACAGCATGCTGTTTCGTTCTTTTTGAACTCATCAGCGCAGCACAGAGGAAATGAGGTCGAACCTGATAGCAATGGAAATAAAAATTTCCAATCAGGCCCGAACGTACCTTGCCAGAGTGCTCAAACTGGCAAGTCAGTGAGCTCTGCATAATGCAAACAGGTTATTTGTATATAATAATATGAAAAGCTTTTGGTATTATGAAATTGACAACCTTGGGGTTTTGTGTATATATATATTATAACCTTTTCACCCATTTTCATTAGTGGTTACATGGGAATGAGCAAGATCGAATATATATAACGGTATACTGAAAGGACGAAACAGTGTTGCCCGCAGATTGAGAATACGGTCATCTCAATCTGCGGACATCTCAATCTTTCGTTCTTTATTGACTCATCAGTGCAGCACAGAGAAAATGAGGCCGAATCTGATAACAATGAAAAAAATTCCCAAAGCCCGATTTAAACCAGACCCGAACGTACCTTGCCAGAGTGCTCAAACTGACAAGTCAGTGAGGTCTGCATGCCGCAAACAGTAAAGCCACTTCCCCATATGAGAGTCCTTATCGATTGAAATCATGGCCATAGACAATACCAATATTGCGTATTGTTGCAGCTGATCATTTAATGTTGTTGTCAACTGTCCATGTTCCTTGGTGTTGTCTTCATACAATATAGTTCAATAGACACCTATTCAATGGATATTTTGTCATTCATGAATCTGATGATGGGCCTGGGCCGAAAATTTGGTGTAATGTAAATCTTGATTTTAATTTTAATCGCAATGAAGAGAACATTTTGGAGTTGGGAAGTGAAGTTTCCTTCATGTTTCTTCTTGCTCCTTTATTTGCCTCAGAGGGGAAGTGTGGTGTCATCCCAACTATCAGTCACGGGGAATATCAAGTAGTCGATGCGGGTGTTGGAAACGTAGCTACGTATCACTGTAGCCCAGGCTATCACATGATGGGATCTGGTCTGGTGATCTGCCAAGAAAATGGACAATGGTCTGAAGCCCCTTCATGTGAGTGTAATAAGAAATTTTTCTGATAGAAAAGGGGGGGGGGGTGGGGGGTGTGTTCCAACTGTCAACCACTCTATTCATTTGCTATGCACAATCTAGGGATAACTCTATTGTTGATGTAACATTAAGAATAATCTGCCCGCCTGTGTGAATTCACTACCAATGAATGCTCCACAACTTTGTGTTCAGCTTCTGTCCAATCCGATGAGAATTTCAGTTCTGATGTAAATACAGTCTGACAATGGCCTGTGAAACCAGATCACGGACGATCATCCATGCAGACGTCTCCACCCCCAGTGTAAATAGTCAAATTAGTTCAGATAGTGAAGTGAGCCCTACACGGTTGTTGGCTTCTTGACGCTACTGAGAAGAGCAAGGCAATGATTATGGCTTAGTAGTAGCACTACAACGACAGAACATTAGCAATCGAAAATGCCCACCGTGCACGTGCTTTGTTCCATGTCGCACGTTGTTAGACTGAAGGTTGTGCATGCAGTCATAGGATAGGAAGGTAGTTAGTTCAGAGTGTAACTAGTCATGGTGTTTGTAGGACTTTGACTGCGTACTGGGAATCTGACTGCCTATAGATGAGTCAGTGCACACCATCCAACTGTTTACAGGTTTTAGATTGCATAGTGGCCTCCCGACTGTCTATAGTGAGACGCTTGCCAGCTGTGTCCAAAATATAAACTTCTTTTCCTCAAGTTTTCTCTTTTTTTTTCCCTAAACTTCTGAATATTTGATACTTTGGTGCTCCAAGGAAACTAGTTTGTGCGTGAAATGTGTAGATACGGGGGTGGCTGAGTCCCTCCAGCTCGTGTTGCCAGTCGAATTTTTGATTTTTTCTTTTGACATTTATCTTTGCCACTACCTGAACAATTAAATATTTGATACTAATCTGTCATCTTTGATATGCACAGGTGTTGCCTACTGCCAACCATGGCGTATCCCTAATGGTCGTATTGAACAGCTATTACCTCCCCCTTTTGGTCCTCCTGTCAGTGCTTTTCCTCTTGCCGAAGTTGATCCAGAGTGTGACGAAGGTTATGTAAGTATGGGAAAAGCAACTTGCTCGGGAGATGGGGGAGAATGGGAATATGAAACACCATTGTGTGAGACCGCGAAAAATGCCCGTAAGTACATTCATAATCTACTATTAAATCAATCTCCGGACAGTTAGCTACTTGTTGCTTGTTAGGTCTCATCAGAGGATTAGTGGAGTTTCCTTTATGATCTCAGTGAAGGCTAGTAAGCAGATGAGCTGCAATGTTCAAAGTCAGTGTGCTCTGACTGCCACAGATATCGTAAACATTTTTATGATGGAATACAACGTTGCAACATACAATCTGGGCATGCGGTGTGCACTAATCGGGTTTTTGCATCACCATGAATTACTAGAATATAGTTGCGCTTGACTTACTCCTGTATCACATACCGGTATCACGATTTTTAAGTTAATTTCAACTTCTTTAGATGTGTCCTTCCCTGGCTATATGTACATGTATCCAATCTAGTTGTTAACACTTACATTCAGAACCATGAAAAAGAATACAATACACCACGCCACCACATTGCGCTCTTGGCAGATCCAAACTCTGCCCTCGCATCACCATCACCACAGCGAAGACAATTCAGGTATATAGATTGGTATTGACAATGACCCTCCAGACAGAATGGCTGGGTCGTCGCTGCTTCTTCTCAACTTGAAATGAAAATGAATGATAAGTTAATGAAGTTGATATGTGTGCGTTGCCTGAGGATCATAACTACGTGAAACGAGGAGTTGCAACACAGCTTCCCCTCCCTCTCTTGATTGTGTGCATATGAAAAGTGCAAGTGAGAACTGTGTGTGTGTGGTGGTGGTGGTGGGGGGGGGGGGGTATGTGGGTGCATGTGTGCATGTGTGTGTGTGTGTGTGTGTGTGTGTGTGTATGTTTACTAAGGCCACAGCTTCCAATCATGACGTGCAAAGCAGCGGTGCAGCATCGCAGGCATGAATCGTGGACGTGGTGACGGGGTCTGATGTGCTCCACCGACCTAGGGTCTCGGCTTCACTGCACAGCAAACGCGTCGAAAGAAAACGGGGGCTAATAATTATCGGGAGATGGGGGGTAAGAAGAAGAGAAGAAAGAGAGAGAGAGAGAGAGAGAGAGAGAGAGAGAGAGAGAGAGAGAGAGAGAGAGAGAGAGAGAGAGCGAGCGAGCGAGAGCGAGAGAGAGAGAGAGAGAGAGAGAGAGAGAGAGAGAGAGAGAGAGAGAGAGAGAGAGAGAGAGAGAGAGAGAGATAGCTGGGAGATAGAAGAGCACAGTGCTCTTGGTGATGGGGGCTGCGAAGGATAGCAGGTTCTGGGATATGTGCATGAGAATCAGAATATTGGTGATGATGGCAGCAGGGTTATAAGGTAAGCAGCTGAACACTCATAAGAACAGGGAAAGCGTTGGCGAGCAGATTCAAAGTGCATCAGTAGCAGAGAGCCAGTCCTGAGCAAGAAGGTGACGGTACACCTTTTTCTTAAAGCTTTGCATGTGGGGCTGGGCGGGTGGGTGGTGGAACAGGTCTGGTGGCAGGGCATTCTATGTTGCAGCGGTGCAAGCAGGGAATCCTTGGAGACAGCTTTTCCGGGTGTTGGCAGGCAGGCCAGTTGTCTTCTGGTATGGATGGGAATCCTGCAGCTGGAGAGACTGACGGGTAGGTCTTGTCTCGGGGGCACGGTGAGTGGCTGGTTTAGGTAGCATCTGCTTCAGAGGGCTGGATGCATCTAGATAGCAGAGCTTGTAGGTATAGGCAAGTGCAGCTACCAGGCGACGGAGTGCCAGGCTAGGGAGCCAAGTACCTGCTCCGATGATGTGGAGGGCCCTTCGCTGGATCTGGTCCAGCTTCTTAAGATGGGACGAGGGTGAGTTCATCCACACTAAGGGGCAATACTCGAGTGTGGGTCCCACAAAGCCGTTGTAGACGCGTTGGCGGCTCTCGGCTTCCAGAATAGGAGACGCTCGCTTCAGGAAGCCAATCCGCTGGTTAGCACGGGAAGCTAGGGAGCGGAGGTGGAAGGAGTAGCTCAGGGTGTCGTCAAAGGTGACTCCCAGGAGTTTCAGCCGACTCTCTTCACTCACCGATGTGCCGTCAAATGTTGCTCAAGGGAGCTCCCAGGGCTGGCGATGGTGGCCTATAGACATAGCCTGCGTCTTGGAGGGCTCAAATTTGATCCTCCACTTATGTCCCCAACGGGAAAACGCATCAATGCCCTGCTGGAGGAGCTCGGAGCCACAGTCAATGTCAGCTCTTGATGTGAGGCAGTGGATGTGTGTGTGTGTGTGTGTGTGTGTGTGTGTGTGTGTGTGTGTGTGTGTGTGTGTGTGTGTCGTTTGCATGTGTGTGTGCATGTGTGCATGTGTGTGTGTGTGTGTGTGTGTGTGCATGTGTGTGTGTGTGTGTGTGTGAGTGTACATTTGCGTATGAGTATTGTGTGTTTGTCTGTGTGGGGATTGGCAAATTCAAGTGTTATTTGAGGAGATGGGTGCTCCTCAAAAAATATCACTTTAATCTACCACCCAACACCCATTTTTGCACTTGCCCTGGTTATGTACATATATCATAATTTGAGCATTTTTTTCATCTCTCCATACTATTTTTGGGCGCTTAGTCCTTTCAGTCCGGGCAATGGAGGTCGTTACAAGTGGGGAGAACGCTCTAAAGGGAAGTTAGTAAGTTCTAAGGAAGCTGTTCTATTTTACTCTGTTTTCCCTTCTCAATGCTTCAGGAGTGATGTGGAGAAAGCTCCGGGAAGCGAGGACACAGGCAGCAAGGGAAAAGAACCAGGCAGGAAGTGGAAATGGAGGATCTGACGAGGGCGACAGGAAAGAATCGTCCCCGTTTGAGGAGAGTCCTGCCAGTGAATTATCCCAATCTGTGGAGAGCCTCGCCGGCAAACATCCCAATCGTCTTGGAATGTGACCGAAGAATCAACAGTTATGCAAGTCTAACTTCAGAAGAGGGTAAGAGATTCGCTGCGAGAGTCCAGGACCTTGAAGATTAAAAAATTCTCGGTTCGCGTGAGACTCGGTTTATCTATATAGAGGCCGAGTTTTCCGCATCCTTAGGAACGCCACCACCCTTCAAGGATCAAGGCGCAGATACTGCTCATAAAGCTGTGGGAGGTGAGTAGATCAGCTCACCAGCATGTAGTCAAAGACCACAAATCCCATTCACTTGATCCATGTTTTCCTCGTGCCAGGCCAATAGTTCCCAATTAACTGTGGGTCGCAGCACGGCTGGAAAATATATTTCCGCTTCCAAGCAGGACTTGAACCTGGTACCCTCTGTTTCTCAATCATGGTCTTAGACCATCCCACTATGCCTGCCTGGTCCTTGAAGGGCATAATGCTGCGCTGACGAGTCCACAAAGGACAAAACAGTTCTGTCCGCAGATTGAGTATTATGAAATCATCTTTATTGCTCACAATTGGAAAGTCAGTCATGCAGTTGGACAATGTTCTGCTACAAGAGCAGGTGAACATTTTCCATCTTTCTACATCATTCAATTGAATGATTCAAATATAGCAGTTATATGTTCAGCTTGTTCTCTTCATTGTGATCATAAGATTGTAGTTTCCCCATGGCTGGTTCAAATTTGAATAGCATGTACAATATTCTTCCCTATTAAATCCCTAGTGTAATAATTAAAAAGGCAGTTTCAATGTTTGTGTGACTATAAGAGATTATGAAGTGGCTACAGTGGAGCCTCAGGATGTGGGAGAATGTACAGACAGACAGCTAAATGGTCTTCAAGAAGACAGCGGCAAAAGAAGGATCCATATGTACATGTGACAAGCCGAATCAATTTTAATTACAATATGGATGCTTTTCAACACACTTTTCAAGACCAGGTTCAACCTTTCTGGATGGCCATTCACCGACGTTGGGCTACACGATGCTGGAGGAACTAGATTCCAGTGAAAACCGAAGATTCCTTTGCTCCTGGACGTTCCGACGTGTCGTGATATCTGCCAGGTGCTCAGTAACTCTCGCTCACAGCCATCACCAGCCTCTCAAAACCATCACTTTGAATTCCCCAGACGTATAGGAGAAAGCCAAAACAGCTTACAACAAACAAAAGCTAAGGACGATGGAAAGAGAGCATGTCAAAAAGAAGACGAACCGTATGAAGTTCAAATGGTTTTGAACACTCACACCACCAACTATACCACTTTCAATAAATCGTGACGCGGTTTTGTTTTAACACGCATATCGCGGATTTTATAGAACTATGTTGCGCCCAAACTGTGAAAGAAGGAATCTGCATGTTCATAAAGCAGATATTTAAACTCGAATTTAGTGGCACAATTATCAGATTTGTTGCTTTTCATTCGCTGTCACTTGTTGATCATACATTTAGTTCACTGTGTTACATGTACATGTACTTGCATGTACCAGGAGTGAGGGTTATCCATATTTTCAAGGCCCAGACGTGTTCTATTTCGATTTGGGGAACACTCCGATCAGTTGTTCAAACCGACTGAAAACGACTCCTCGAATCCCTGCCATTGAACACCTCAGACTCTGCTTCTGATGTATACCCACAGAAAAGTGGCAGCACTCCTCTACTATCTTATTTAGGAAGTTACAACCGTCAATTGCACTTGCTTCCTCTACTACCCGATTCTATTTCTCCACACCAGAAGCAAGAGTATACAAACTCGTAGGATTAAAAAATGTTGTCAGAGCCTGAAGTTGTAATGGTAGATTTGCCTTCTTGCCTTCTCAATAATATGTGGAGTTTTGTAGTAGTTGTTGCTAGTATTTCAAAGTACAAACAAAAGTCAAATTGAAAATACTTTCACAATTATGATCTAGCAGGAGTAGTGTACTCTTGGATCTAGCTTATAGAGGAAGTACTAGCTTATAGAGGAAGTACTAGCTTATAGAGGAAGTACTAGCTTATAGAGGAAGTACTAGCTTATAGAGGAAGTACTAGCTTATAGAGGAAGTACTAGCTTATAGAGGAAGTACTAGCTTATAGAGGAAGTACTAGCTTATAGAGGGAGTACTAGTGTTGTGAAACCACAAGTTCTCGAGAGTGAAAGCCCTTCTCGCTTGTGACATTGTGTTCACAACATTTGGTGACCACG